GCCCAAAATCAGACCGTGTTAATTTGGCTTACAGCAATAAGGGCTGGAGTGTAAAGTTAAAAAAAAGAAGGATGTGTCAAACCCAGCTTTGTTGCAGCAAGTTCACACTGTCATGACTATTTATTTGATCCCTGGAATTTTAAGTGATTACAGCATAAAAAAATGACAAAGTGTGTGGAAGGGAAAAGAGACAACTGAAGAATACTGAAATAATTTATGGGGACTAACCAAATTTGGAAGACGGCAAATTGAGTCAACTCATGTCCACTCAAGACCTTCAGGTGGGCAACAAATCCTTTAAAATGGGCGGGTGTTTTAGACCAAGATTCTCTAAAATGCCCAGACTGCTTCATCACACTCACATTCTGACCCAGCTTGGACTAATGGGATAAGGATGAAGGTCCTTATTGTAGTGGTGGAAGTAGAAACAAAAGCATTTTTTACAGATGTGCGCCTCCAACGTGGAGAATAAATCACTCATTTAACTCACTGCAAGTGCATTTGATTTGAGAGGAAGTCACTGAAAGTTACTCAGCAGTTTAAGTCATGCCTTTGACCTTTATATTGTAAAAGGATTAACCTTTTGACTGAACCGTCTGATGATGCACACGATCAACAGTTACAGTGCCCGTATGTACAAACCATAGCATAAAAGTGATGGGAAATAGTTACGGTGGAAAAGAGTTTATCAGTTCCTAAGAGCAACAACTTGACAGCCTGGATTGAGAATCAGGTGCCCTCCGGATCCAGTCCTGCTCAAAAAATGGTGTATTTTTTATTCTATGTATTCTGTTCATCGTCCAGTGTGTCCCATCTCTGAATGTAACTAAGACAACAGCTGTTTTAGTGTATCAATGAAATTAACAAAATAGTCCTCTTAACGTACACACATTAAGGCATAATTGATCCAGAAGAGAGAGGGGAAAAAAAAAAAGAAGAAAAAGCACAGCACAAAGAACAACCTAATGTGAATCAACACCAAGCACACCCCTTTTCAAGGCTTTGCCTCCAAGCCCAGCACTGCTCACAATCTGAACGTCAGTAGCAAAGAAACAGTCGTGAGGACTGTTTCTTTGCCTACAGTGTCCAACAAAGTATCTGGCATGACCCTCCCAGCCAGATACTTGACCGTTGATACTGGATCAGTCTTGGAAAGGAGAAAATTTCCGCTGCAGAACCCCAGAGGACAGCAGAAAGACAGGTGAATGGGGAGTAGGCAGATGGAATGACAGGAAGCCACAGACATACACGACGATCCGGATCCCTGGATCACTGGATGACTTCAAAGTAGTGCAAGATGGCCATGATGTGCTGTGGCATGAACACATAGCCGGTGTATATGGCCATACCAGCCACAGAGATCAGCAGGGAGTCTGAAGGAGAGACGTTAAGGAGGAATTTCTGAAGACATTCAAGTTTTACTGCAGGGAACCACAAACAAACTCTAACTGATGTGCCTTCAACAATCAGTAGCTGGTAATGTGATTTACATCCAACAAACACTGCCTGCTAATGGATACAGGCTGGCAGCCAGTTACACCTGCATGCAAATGTTTGGCCACCAAACAGTCAGTGACCTCTTTTCCTGGTTTGTGAATAGAAAAGATATCAATACAAGCCCTGCAAAATGTTAACTGGCTTATATAACAGCTGTGGCTAAAGTGTAGACACAAAGTCTCATGATTTCAGTAAGGCAAGTCAAACTTTAGTGGTAAATCTTCTAGCAACTGGAAAGAATTTCAAACTCGTTCGGCAGGATTTACATTCCAGAAAGCAGGGAGGAAAAAATATTTGAAATAACTTTAAAACTATGTACAGAGATAGCCACAATAATGCTCTCAAAATCACACTATTGAGCGTAAAGCATGTTTACACGCTTTATAATTACCTTGCTAATGTAAACAGGAAAGCAGACTGTTGCCATCATTTTGCTCAAAGCATGGTCCAATAGACATTTTCATTGTTGAATGTCCTTGCTGATAGCTATCATATAAGATCACCACTACACAAAAAGGCAAGTTGCAGAAGGCTCTGCAGCTCTTATACTTGCTGCTTTCCACAGGCAGCATCTTCCAGTGGGAATATGTGACACTGTTGTCTTGCCTGACAAAATTACTGTGCTTACAAGAAAATTAGCAACCGCATCACACACACATCTGAAAGCTCCTGGTTCTTCAAGGACAGAAACTGCTGCTTTTTATCATCTTACATGATGAATATACATTTTTAACTTATGACTCAAAAAGATCATTTATAGTACCAGGAAACTTTAGGTGGAGGAACTTCAGTGTTTATTTTTGCTCCATTTAGCTGTAAATGTTGTACAAAACAGATTTTAAACTTGTGACAGGATGTTTTGCAATGAAAATAACCTTGGAGGTCACAGCTCTCTACAGAGCTGTACACCTTCTATCAAGTGACCACATATTTCCCAACAGATTTGTCAACCAAGAAATGTTGTCAGTCACTGACATTTTCTAACGCTCATTCACTTGCCATTCCCGATAGGAAAAGAAACAGGAAAAAACCCAAACCCTTAAATACTTACAAAACCTACAAAAGTCTCATCAGCCACTGGAAGTTAAGTTCATCGTAGCCATAATCTGCTTCCTGTAGATCAACAATAAAATAACCAGTGTGATCCCTGAGCGACTGCGTCAAGTTATTTGATGAGATGCAGGCCGATAACGATCAGGAAGACACAGTAACACACCTGACCCTCGGAGGGAGACGAGATACACCCCGACAGTGACGCCATCATGCACAGAACGTGATACTGATGACTTCCTGCACTGCCACAGATCAAAGTACAGTCATAAAACCATCAACAAGGGGTACACTCTAATTATTAACTTCGTTCAGTTAACATTGTTTGCGTTTTTTTTAAAGCATAAAATTAAAATAAAGGTCATACGTAACGTGTATGTACTTCACGCGACAATCACCTGACCGACTCTCTTAAAGTAGCTGAAGCTAGCTTAGCTTTGATGCCGCCCAAAGAGTAAACTAACCGCACTCACGCTGGACTTGAAAGGCAAAGTACACAGCACGACAACAAAGTGTGAAACATTCTTTAATGTATCAATGAAAGGAATTTGACGCTTTACTCAAGTCTGTCACTACAAACACGTTTCTTTATGTCAACTAGGTTATGAACTAGGAAGCGGTTTACGCACACATCGCTCCAGTTTTCATCCGTTTATACACAAACCAATTACAGATTAAAACACATAACTTGTAGAATAACATTTAGAGCAGTCTCTACAATGTGGCGGATGAGTGTTCAATTCAGAATTGACTAAGCTGTGAACTCTTTAGCTTTCAACGATAACAAGGGCCGACTCGGTCTATATGCCGCATTTGCCATAAATCACCGCTCATGTGTTAAAATGCTGTAAATGGTTTATACAAACAACTGAAGCTATGTTTACTTTTACCCAAAGTTAGCGCTATCAGTGAAAGATCTAGGTCAGTCAGGCTAGCGTTCGGCTAAAGGTAGCAAATTAGCTCGGTAGTACATCCCTTCAGAAGCCACTTCAATACGGAAAAAGGATACTGAACACCGTCCTCTCCCAGGGCTCCAGCATGTACAAGGCTGTCACCAGAAGATACTGGTAGTAAAACCAGGATAACTGCTTCCAACACTCTCCAAGTGCCATGGTCCAACTTTTAAAATAACTTTGCTCCTTCCTCGCGGCTCTTATCCTCTTTATGTTTCGTGGTGAGGTGTTTTGTGCTCACGTAAGGTTTAATCGCGAGGCGCTGGTTTCCGGCAAATCACAACTCCGCGTTCAACCGTATGATTGTGACGCAGACCAGGGTGTTCCACCTTCCTAATTTCAAAATAAGAGTCAAAAGTAACTTTCAACACCACATCAAAGTTTAATTTATACTCTATGTTTCAGAACAGCAGCTCTATTTTTATTTGCTTGTTTATCTTGCTTTGCCTTAACCGAGTGCCCATCTTAGTGTATTTTCTTTCCATTAAGCATCAAATATCTTGGTTCTTTAAAACAGATTTTGAGTCACCCCCCAAACCAAAGCACTCTACTGGCCCAAACACTCACTAAAGCACTAAATGTGGATCATTCCATGGCTGAATAGATTCCCCAACAAAATGCTATACTCCCCAGTTTGAAACACATTTCCTTAAGAAGTACAGATATTTATGAAATCAGTTAACTACCAATTAAATGTCAGGAAACTATATTATGATCATACCAACTGTGTACAAGTGAGGCAGACAAAGCACTGTCTCTATTCCTACAATTCTGATAGACATCAGAACTTTTACTTACCGAAGCCATAACTGTGGCAGCATGCATATGCTGAAAATTACCCGTCTCAGGCGAGATTATTTGTCAAGGAAAAATGATGTAGCCTTTCAAAAGTTTCAGAAAACTGTATTTTTTTGCATTTTAAAAAATAAAAACAGCAGCAAATGTAAAACTTTTAGAAGTTTTTCAGTGTCAGTGTGATTTAGTCTATATTATTTATGGCCAATTACACAGGCCACATTAGCATGATGGCAAAATTGCAAAAATACACTGATAGTCGTAGAAAGTTCTGTGGCTGCTCTACTACCAATGCACAATAATGACCAGCATTCAAACTACAGCGGTGCAAATTGGTCGAAAACAAGCAGACACTATGAGTGTCGAAGTATTCTGCTAATAAAAAAACAAAAAATCGAATAAAACAAAGCACAGGTTTGATGATGCTCTTGTTAATATAAACAGCATTGTAATTCAGATTAATGAGGGGAAGCTAAAGGAAAATCAATATGTTTTAATATAGGGGCAACTTTCCTGTCAGAAATTGATGAGGAATTTGTGTAATCAAGTGGGAGGAGGTGAAGTATAGGATTCAACCAGAGGAGAGCTGCATTATGCTGACCTGTACCTTAATAAATCAGATTTGTGTGACCGATTTAAATTACTCCCAACATTTTTGCTCTCCAAATTACACACGCAGTAAGACAAGACACAAGAACACCGGAGTCAACGGCAAAAGGTTGTGTTCAGGCACAGCACTTAAAGTTTTACAGACATGAGGTGGTACATTTTTTCTAATCCTGAAAAGGATTTCATTTTTGTTACCTGTTGAACAATGTGTTCAAAATGTGTATGACAAACATGATCAGGCGACTGATCACAGACTGATTTGCCATCTCAGCCGTGACGCTGAAGCAAAAAAAGCTGTCAAAACTGTTGTAACTGCTGTAAACACAACACTGACAAGTTGTCACTGGCGCCATGATCTTATTTGCAAAAAAAAGAAAAAGAAAAAAGAAGATGGACATTTACACATCCTGCAAATACAGAACAATAACAGCGTTAACTTAAAGTGATGAGCACACGTCCAGTGTTCACTCCCCTTTAGCTTTGCTTTGGTGAGCATTTTGGATATAAAGACAAAGATCTGAGCCACGAGGTGTGAAGTTAGAGACAAAGTCCAGCTCAGACCTCGTTCAGTCCTTGTCAGCAGTGGCTGGCCAGGATGTTGAAGAAGTGGTAAACCTCATCTTTATCGAACACGGCCACCTCAGTGGAGCACTCAGAGCACTGCACCGGGTGGTACACCTCATCAGCATCCATCCCCATCGCTGCTGGAGTCTCATCCGCAGGCGTCTCTGTCTGCTGTCCCCTCCTCCTCTTCCTGTTCCTCCGGTTCTTCTCCTGCTGGTTTTTGTAACGCAGCACCTCCTCTCTCTTGACTGTGCAGTTCATCACAAACATTGCTCGATACTGCGTGCGATACTTCTCGTGCCTGAACGGACACAAGAGTGATGTGTCGTTACATTTTAAAATGACAAAATCTCTACAAACTAATGAACGTTTCTCTTACAATCACTTCAAATCTTTCATTAAAAAACAAACAAACAAACAACAAAAAACTGATGTAGAGTATGAAGTGACTCACATGCCTTGTGTTGTCAAAACAGCTTTGACTGTGATACTATGATCCCTAATCTAACAATATGGACAGAGACATGTAATGGGAGTTGGGCAATGGCCCATTGGCTCTCCTTAGTCAGCAATAACTAGTTTTTGTTCATGTTTTCATCACATATTTAATCATTCCAGCTTGTCAAACATGGGAACTAGTCCTGTGCATATATGAAAACATGGGTGTAGCTTTGGTGTCAGTGAAGTAAAGCTTAAGTGGAAGTGGATTAACCTGCATTCTTTGTAATGGCCAGCAGGGGGCCAGCAGGGGGTGAGTCCTAGCTTTGCGAAAAGGTTTCCAGTTGTTTGAAGTATATGGCTAAACGGCCCTCAGCTCCTGTTATCTGTGCCCTCAGCAAGGACATTCTGGATAAGTTAAATCACCAAATTAAAGTCATAAGGCTCCAGTACACCCTCTGCATTGGTCGCTTCACACGCTGCAGCAAGCTTATCACGCAGTCACTTCTATTTATGCCCATTAGGGCATAAAGGAAGTCAATGCATTATTTGCCTGAATGATGGGTGTCGCCACTCAAAGAACACCGCCAACATCAGCACTAATATATGAGGAGAAGAAGTCAAAACCCCAAAGTCTCAAGTTTTCAAAATGTTTCAAAATCTCCCTCTGTATACGTGTATGTCTCTGAGCTTCTGTACTGGAATATCATTAAAATGGTGATGAAAACCTGACACAATCGTACACTTGTGTTCAACCCAGCTGCGACAGCTGCAGTGGAACGCTCCAGGTTACAAAATCAAGAGTTGCACCACCGATGGAAGATAAATCCAAACAGCAGTGTGTGCGAACTGATGCAAGGTTATTTTCAGTGCACACTGCCGTGCTTTGGGGCACACGGTGAGCATATTGAATACAACATGATGTTGTTCTCAATCACAACAATACAAACGCTTTTCAAAGACTTTTCTTAAAATGTCAGTATTATTAAGTTCTAGCAATTTTCCCTCTGCTGGACTGAAACTCCACTGTGTAGGACATAAAGCACGTTTTAGTGTAGTAAAAAAGAAACTTGGCCACTATCAGAGATGGTATATGTAACACTACTCCATCATCAGTCAGATTTTGTGGATGTCAAACTTCTGCAGAGGCGAGCAGCTCTCTGATCTCAGTTAACATTAGGCTGACACCTTAATCTGCTGCTGGGTAAAGATAGGGATCTGCACTGTTTTGAAACCTGCTGTGGAGCCTCACCTCTGACAGTCCAGGCAGAGTGTCGTCATGCAGGCGGGACAGTTAAGCACAGCGTCGCTGTGAGGCAAAGCTTGAGGGTGGCGAAGCTTTGAGTGAAAAGCTGCAGCAGGTCGTTTTCTTCTGCTGTACCTACACAGGACGGTAAGAGGTGGAATGAGTCTCTGGAGGGGAAAAAAAAGAAAGAAGCAAAAACATCTGGTAGCATGTGTTTTAGAAATTGTAAGAGAATCTGTGTTACTCTCTCCTCCTGGCGTCAACCCAGGCCTGGTCTCTGTCGTCCTCGTCGGGGTCATACAGCAGCTCGTCATTGGTCGGAATGGTCCGCTGTCTCCGCCTCTGGCTTGTTGAGCTGCCTACAGAAGAAATTTTAAATACTGTTAGTGGCAGGTTGTACATGTATTCTGTCATCATGATTCAGTTAAAAGGACTGGATGTTACAGTCCCTGATAATGCATTGCTTTAGATGAAGAGATTCTTGAGGGATGGCTGTTATGAGGAAAGGCAGCCTAGAAACTTTGCCAGCAGCACACATCGTTGTGTGCCTCAACTTTCGGTCTTTTACCCAGGCTAATCTGCCATTTTCCTTCCTTGGTTAGGTTTAGGGATTAGAGATCGATCTAGATTATCATTTTAAATTTGGGCCACATCATCAGTAGTGGACCTTGAATTCATCAGGTGTTTCGGCCATTATCACTAGACACCCTCATCCAAGGAGGCCCTGCCAGGGTTGATCAGGCCCTGGAGTGTGTCACTGGTTTATGTTAAATTGTTACTTCTCTCCTTTTTTCTTCTGTTTAGTTTCCTACAGTTTATTTTCTATCTATTGACTGCAACTGAGAAATAATACTTACCTCTTTAGCATTTATGGAACCTAACTTCTTCAAAGGGATAGAAAAGGTGATAGCGAGAAGTAAGACAATGACATCTTAATGACTGTTAGTAACCAGAGCAGGAAAACCAGTTCTCTTACTCGGTGTGCCGTCCTCCTCTGAGTCCGAGTCAAAATAAACCTCATCATACATCTGTGGGTTAGAAAGTCCAGGACCACCAACAGCACTTCCTTCCCCTTCTGCTCCTCCTCCTCCTGGTCGTTTTGAGGTCTCTACCAGAGAACAAACACAATGCTAAGCACAAACTGTATTTACAGAGACGGTCTGTCAGACACAGCAGGATAAGTTAGTTAACCTTGGGATTAAACTTGGCTTCCTCCTATACCACTAGTGACACAACATAATACTTGTTTTGTGCTTAAACATACGCTGCAGCACATTATTTAGTGAGTCAGAAATTAATGCTGGGCATACACTGTGCGATTTTTGGCTCATTTTGAGCCGATTTTTCAGTTGTGCGACTGTTTTGGGGATCGGCCCAAGTTTTGCCTTCATCGTGTTTCGTGCATCGTGTAGTATACGTAGGGTATCGAGAAGCGATTAACACCTCACGACCAGCTCCCAATCATCAGTCGCTCGATCGTAAGAAATTCAAACCTGCTTGAAATCCTGTCGGCCGTCGTGAGGGTGTCACCGCAGCCTCTCACACTGCGCACGCGCAAACACAGAAATGAAAGTAAAAAAACGGGGCACACGACACAAGCGATGGAGGCACAACTTGTAGAACTTTGGCAAGCTCATCTGAGCCTTTCCCATGTGGCCTCACAAAATTATCATAACCACAACAACCATGAAAATAATTGGATGGACATTGCTGCTCAATCATAGCTGCCTGATCAATGTTTTTCATTAGCAATTTAGCAAAGTTGATGGTGGCAGTGTGCGTGTCTGTGTGAGTGAAAGACAGAGAGGGAGAGCGAGCGACAGATTTTCCGTTATAACTTCATGTTATGGACGCACAGTGTGAGCACTGAAGTCGCATCAGAGCATCGGACCATATAATGTGAGCATCGTGACCTGCGAACTTCTAACCCCTGCGAGTCAATCGTGCAGTTTGAGCAGAAGCTGAATAACGTGACTGGAAAAAAAATCCCAAAAAAAAAAATCGCACAGTATCTGCCCAGCTTAACAACAGTGGCAACGCCGGTTGTTTTTTTGGAGCCAGAAGTGGCCATAATTGGACAAGATGATGGAGTGCTAAGTTTTACTCAGCAAATAAATGAACCACACAGCTGATTATTTGTAAGATATTTTCATTAAAAATGCTCAAAACGACAACATCACAAACACTGTCAGCTCATTCAATGACTAGAATTAGCTAAGATGAAGCTTTGCACACAGCTTTTGGCTATAGCTGCCATCTAATCAGTTGATAGAAAAGTAAATCCAGACATATCACTAAGAAAATACAAATACTAGCAGCTGGGTGTTACCTGCTGCTGGTCCCCAGGTTCCCTGCATGGTCTTGATGGTGGAGCTGAGCTCTGCCTCCATCTCTTTTTCAAAATCATCCTCGCTGGATGACTCGCTCTCCCCAGTTAGATACTCTCTGATCAGCTTCTTTTTCTGGTCCGGAGTCCCGTTCAGGAGCACGTCCAGCTCATCCTCCGAACTGAAACAGAGAAAAAGTTTTCAGGAAAAAACCCCAAAAAACCCACAGACTCCCAAACCCAGAAGATTAAGAAATTGAAGTAACCATTCATATGTTATTCTGCACATGTAACATTATATCATGTAGTGGTATCGTATAGTATTTAAAAGACCAAATAATTAAGCACTTAATTTGAAAACCAAGAATCCACGTCGAAACTGTCGCTTTAAGCTTAGCTCAAAACCAAAATTAGTTGCCTGTACTCACTGCATCCATCGGTACATACATATTTGCTGCTTTAATAATGAATAAACTTCAGATCTTCAGGTAGACAAGTTCTTTTGAAGTTTTGGACACATCAAGACATCGCAAGACATCACTTATAACTATTAATAATTATTACGTCTTGCTTAATTTTCTCCAATTTAGCGCCATAATAATAAATCCAGAAAATTCTTGGCTAATTAGGGCAATAATAAGCATCTACACTCGTGTATTTTATTTTCTTCTCACCCGCTTTCCTGCAACATTTAGACTTATAAAAATCTGCCGCCTTTCTATAAACATAATTAAGCAGTAACATCCATGTCACGTTAAAATAAATTCACCGTAAAGAGGGGCTCAGCGCAGTCTCCCTGCTATTCTAGTTTGTTTACATGTTAGCTCCCAGCTAGCTAACTGCACTTTAACCTCCCAAAGCCAAAGCTGCGCTGGCCCCTAAAGATAAACACCCGTGTTATCCTCGCACCTGCTGGCGGCCCGCTCTTCGTCGCTCGGCTCTTCGATCTCATATGACTCAAAGTCTTGTGCTTGACCTAGCTTATTCATGTTAAATGTTAGAGGAGCGTTAATTACAATAGCATGAGGTGCTGATAAGTTAGCTACAACACGCCAAATTGCTTCTTCCGCTTCCGCTTCTTCTTCGTTTGTGTTTAATAAGGGTTGGAAAGCGTATACTAAAGTCTATTACCGTCCTCAACTGGGCTGGAGTGTGGGACAGGCGCTTAGGGAGGAATATAACAAAAGGATGAAAAAAAAACTGCTTTATGTTATGAAGTTGTATATATCCCCAACAGTGTCACCAGCAAGCTGGAAGCATGTAAATATAATAATAACCACTGCAGCCAAGAAGAGTGCCTGACGAGCCCAGTTGTAAGTAAGCTATTAAGACTCGACTGTACACCGTGTTCGTGTTTTCCTCCGAAACAATAAGTTTCGTTGGAGCAGTCTTTCAACGCCTCTCTCTGTCAAGAAAAGTTGACCCACACAACAAAGTAAAGCTATTTCTCGGCTACGAGCCGACAGGGACCCCGCCGTATTAGTCAGAGGTCCCTTTACTACAGTTCGGAGTCGCGGACCTTCAGTAATAGTAATAAATCACACAGCAATAGTACATTCACGTTGTTGTAAAAAGCATGATAATATAGTAAGTAATCCAAAGTATTCAGAATACGTTACTGTCATTGAGTAACGTAACGGAATACGTTACAGAATACATTTTGGGGCATGTATTCTGTATTCTGTAATGGAATACATTTTAAAAGTAACCTTCCCAACACTGAAGCCTTATATGATTTACTCATGAAAGTGACCACTTTCATGAGTAATCACATATAAGTTTTTACTATTTATTTTCCGTATGGGTAACTGGTGTCGTATTACATTGATTGACAATGTCGATTTAGCTTGGAAATATTTCCAGAGAGTTTTATCTGCTTTGTGGACAAACATGCACCCTTTTGTCAGGTCAGAGTTAAAGGTCGGGTGGGCCCCTGGTTCAGTTCTGAACTGGCTGGTCTCCTACATGAGAGAAACCAGGCCTGGGCAGCTGTGAGGTCAGATTCTGATGGTGATTGGCCACTTTTTCATCAGCTGCAGAAAGGCCAACTGTCACTACTTTTTGACTTTAACCACTGACACTCGAAATGACCCTAGGTGGTGAGGTTTTGGCAAGCTATAAAGTCTCTCTGTCAGCTCTCATTCCACAGAGCTACCTCCTCACTTAATTATTAACTCCACTCCTGTGTCAGACAAAACCAAAACTCTCAATTGTTGTAACAAACACTTTGTTGCTTCTTATTCTGTGTAGCACATACATATACAACTCTGCTGGCAGTTCCTCAGTTACTAATACTTTTTCCTTTACACCCTTTATGGTAGAGGAGGTATGTATCTGCTCAAGGCATTTCCATTGAAACTGAGGCGTCATACAAATACCTAGGCATTGTGATTGATGACAATCTTTCCTTTAAGCTATGCATTGACCACCTAATAAAGAAACTGAGGGTGAAGCTGGGGTTCTTTTTCAGAAACAGATCATGTTTCTCTTTCACGGCAGGGAAAGGACTTGTTGCTGCCACTTTTTTACCCCTCCTGGATTACGGTGATATACTTTACATGAATGCCTGTGCTCATCTGTTGGATTCTGTCTATCATGGGGCATTAAGATTTATAACTGTCCATAAACCTTTAACACACCACTGTACTTTATATTCTCTTGTTGACTGGTCCTCATTGCTTTAAGCAGGACGGTTCATTGGTATCACTTTATGTATAACTCTATTTCTGGTTTACTGCCCTCTTATTTATCAGAGTGCATGTTACACAAACAGTTTAGTCATAGACTGCGGTCTCAGGACATCATTACGTTCACTGTTCCACCAGTTCATACAGAGCATGGAAATAAGGTGTTCTCCTTTTCTGCCCTGTCTTCACATTATTGAAGGATTTGAAGCTCTCTCAACTGATTGCACTTGCAGACTTTAAAAGACGAACACATGTTTTTGTGAAATCATCACTGGGAACTTGTTCTTGCCTTTGATATGACTGTGTGCATTAGACACGTTTAGCTATTTTATTGTTTCTGTTGTTGTTGTAAGTTTAATATGTTTGTCTGGAACAGGTCTTGCTTGTAAATGACACATTGAGTCTCAGTGGGTCTACCTGTATAATAAAGGTTTAATAAAAATAAAAATGTAAACACAATATTGAGTTTTTAAATGATTTCATTCATTCAGAAAAAACAAAAAGCCACCCTAATGTACCCAGCCCTGTATCAAAAAGTAATTGGTGTGAGGCTGCTTTGATGTTTGACGACCTGGACAATTTGTCGTAATTCATGGAACCATGAATTTTGCTCTCTGCCACAAAATCCTGAAGGAAAATAGCTAGCCACTAGCTCATACCTTGAAGCTCAAGCACACTCAGGTTATGTAGGAGCACAATGATCTGAAACACACCATCAACTTCACCTCTGAAAAAAAGGTTGTCGAATGGCCTCATCAAAGTCAGAGCAGTTTTAGACGCATGACCTTAAACAGAAAACCCTTCAATGTGGCTGAAGTAGAACAATTCTGGAAAAAAGAGTGGGCCAAAATTCCTCTACAGCTTTGTGAAAGACTCATTGCCAGTTATTACAAATGTCTGGTTGCAGTTCTCGCTGCCAAGGGTGGCACAACCAGCTATTCTGTTTAGGTGGTAATTACTTTTTCACACAGGCTTGGATATGTTTCTTTCCTTAGTAACTGAAATCATCATTTCAAAACTGCAGTTTGTATCAACTGCGTTTTATCTTTGTCTAATATTACAATTTATTGGATGATCAGAAACATTTAAGGTGTGACAAATACACAAAAACTAAAAACTTCTTCACAGCACTGTATATTACCTTATAACATTTGTGCACTCAAACAATTTTTTTCCCCAGGTGATGAAATAAATTAACAGTTTGTTTCATTGGTTGAAATTGTCATTTCAAGAGTATTTCATGTAAGAAAGCCATGAAAGCTGACTGCATCACTGATACTGGAGGTGATTCTCAGGAGCCAGGTTTTGATGGTGATGCTGGCATGTAGGCCGCACATCCACAGTAAAGCACTGGCTTCATTAATGCAGTTTGTGCACCATCTTTAGTCGTCAGAGGACATACTGGAGGATCTCTCGACACCTGTCTCTTCTCTGTTTTGATATTGTCCATTAAAGCTTTGGTAAGCATTGGTGAAATATGCCACGATAACATTTCAGCAGAGTTTTATGGATGGCATGGTGAACTGTGTCCACAGACAGTGATTTCTGTGATTTCAGTGACAGAATCATGCCTGTTTTTAATGCATGTGAAATCCCCAAAATCATCACCCAGTGTTGATTGTTGACCTTGCACACAGATTTCTACAGATCTAGTGATGATATAATACACTTTATGAGATATTCTTTTGAGGTAAGTCTTTTTTTGTTGGAGAGCATTATTCTGAAGTTGTTCCATTTTTGGGGATGCTTTTTTTTTTTTGCAGATGAGTGAAGCTCTGCCAATCTTTACTTCTGAGAAACCCTGCCTCTCTGAGATCCTTCTTTTATACCCAACCACATTACTGACCTGTTGTCATTTAACATAAATGGCAGCAAAACGTTCCTCGAGCTGTTTCTTTGTAGTACTACTTACTTTTCCAACCTATTCTTGCTCTTTCCTAACATTTTTGTTTCAGCTGAAAATGAATAGATTTTTTTTTCTAAATAGTTAAATGTGAATTGTCAATAAAATGTGGATTTTTAGGATTTACAGATCATTCTGTCTTTATTTATATTTTACACAGTGTGCTAGTGTTTTTGGAAGTGGGGATGTATTTTCTTAGGTGATTAGAGATCGTCCACTATTGCTGAAGGAGAGCCCGACCCAACAAGACACTACAAAGTGGTTGATATTTACAAGATACACGTAGACGTGGTCGTGTTTTTTGTCTTGCCAGATGAAAGATGCTTATAAAAGACAGAAGAGAACTGCAGGAGCAAGAGCCTTACATGCAGAGACCATAGATTTAAAGAATGTGAGATAGAGATGGAGCCGCCACTAGATGGAGCCAAAAGATCAGACATGTTGTTTCAGATGCTCAGGACAGATGCGCTGATGAAGGCCGACACCATGAGGTGCTATTAGGAAGGCGGATTTAATACACAAATTCATCCATCCATCTATCCTCTTGCGCTTGTCCTGGTCCCTACTCCTTTAGTTTTTCCCATTTTTGAATTACTGATGAAACTGTGTGCAGGGTGATGCTGCTTAAATAGTATGCTGTGTGAGATTTAGTAGTTTGATAGCCTGAGTTGATCTACTGAGACTGCAGCTTCATTTTGTGGCCTGTTTGGACTAATGTTTAATTTTCCACAGTACTCAGTAATTCTAAAATGAGTGTAAATTAAATATCTAAAATCAGTGGTTAATTAATTCAATAATTTAACCATTATGAAAATATGCTTGGCTTATACAGAATATATATCAATTAGTTACATTTAATCCAACAAGATTAAATAAATTTTAACATTTTACATGATTTTATGTAACAAAACATGTAATCAAATGATCTAAAGTCAAGGTTTTGGGCATAAATATTTTTTTTTCTGTTTTCATGCATCTGACTGAGCATGAAGACATATGGCCAACCTGAAATCTGATCACATCACTACCAAATCAGTACATCAATTTCAATTCTTTTTTATTTATTATCCATCCATTATTTTTAACCACTCATCATGCGTCACCAGTCCTGCACAGGGCTAACACAGAGAAACAGACAACCGTTCACTCTGGCATCCAAAACAACAAAACAAAAACAAATGAACCCATAACACACTGTTTTTGTGTCTACCTGTATTGTTATCTCATCATCTGGTTAAGTCAGTCTGAGCACAAATGTTTGAGCCATCTTTGGGCCATCTTTGGGCTCAAATATGCTTGATTTGTAAGAAGGCTGTCTTAGATATGCCAGGTTCCATAAATGAACAACTCGACATCTGGGTAAAGGAATGCACTTTCTAAATTGTGGTAACATTGCCTGTGACATTAAACTTTAACAAGACTGACAGGTTTACTTTAAATTGCTATTTGCTACTCGAACTGAATTGAATGCCTTGAAAGC